AGGGAGCCGGCATGCAGGCCGGGAGGCAGTTTGACTGGGTTTCTCCTCAGCGTGCTGCCTCTGCGGCCCCCAGACAGCCATGTCTCCCGCCTGTCCGTGCATCCCCTCAGGATTTCTGTCCTTGGGGTGAGCTGCTGTGTCTGAACCCCTTTGGGAGGGCAGCGGTGGGTGCTGTGGGCTACCTCGTCCCAGAGTGGTATCAGGGCCGTACTGGACATAGGGCTCTTGGCTGGGATTCCCGGAGGATCTTATCCCTCTTTGATGCCTTTAAAAATCTCAGCTGGAAAGCTTTTCTGGCTCTGACCATGCTGATGAAGTGCAGCTTTTACGTTTTACCTGTGGTGCTCTCAGTTTGAGGTAGATCTGTATCAAAATGAGTCAGCCTGTCAGACTCCCCTGGACTGGCAGTACCATGAGGAGATCCTGAAACAGGAGAAGGCTGGAGGTCGGAAGAACTATCGCATCTTCACCTACACTGATCATGACCGATTCACCAACCTGGAAGAGGTACCAACTCCTAGGTACACATAATCTGTACAGCAGTATCTGTCAGCAAGGCCAAGCCTACAGCTTTTTAGGGCAGAGGGGAATGTTTATAATTTCTTAGGCATGCAGAAGCGGGCTAGACATCATGAAAGCAGGAGAACATACTGCCTCTGCAAGGCAGAAGTGGTATGTTTACCTGGTGCCCCAGAGCTGGTGCCCTCTCCCCTGGTGGAGTTCAGCTGTGCTTTGCCACAAGAGTGGAGAATGAAATCTAGAGTGTTTTAGTAGTTTGTTCTTACATGTATGTGCATAACTACTTGTGTTCTCCCCCAAGAGTGAGACTGTGTTTGAGAAGGATGTCCTGTTGTAATTAGGCTAGTTCTAACTGTGTTTCTCTCTTCCAGCACTGCCAGAAGGTTACTGACTCAGTTCATGAGGTGCCATCGTATCTGGCAGAGAGGATGGCCACTGTGAGGAGGAGAAGACAAGACCGTAGGCCAATGTGAGTGCAAAACTAGGGCTCAGAGCTTGCTAATGCAGATTTCTTGGTACTAGTGCCTCAGGTGTGGAGGAACCTGGTCTGTGGAAGTTGGCAGCTTGAACTGCATCCTGAGAGCTCTCAGGAACTGGCTTTTGTGCTCAGAACTGGCACTGTGACTTTTCATCCTGGAGTGTTTAGTGCTGTCTGTGCCAGGCTGCTGTGGTGTGTTGTATCTGATTGTCTGACAAATGCAGGTTATGCTGTCCTGTCATTGACAGAGAAGGGAGTTCTCTGAAGTCGAAAGTCATCACTTGGGAGCCCTCGGAAGAATTTATAAAGAACAATCATGTGATTAACACTCCTATTCAGACCATGTACATCATGGGGGACTTGGGACCTTATGGAAAGTAAGTAACATCTTGAACTGATTTGGTCTCCCAGATGGAAACTCATCTCCCCTCCTACTCAAATCACCTGGGGAGGGAATTCTAAGAGCTCAGTAATTCCAGCTACTATTTCATTCCTCTTTCCTCCATTGGGAGGCACTTCCCAAAGGTTTCTTATACTACTAGGGAAGTATGGGTGTGTTTGTTCCCTCCTGTGTCTCCATGTGCATTTACTAGCGCTGCTATTCCAGAACAAGAAAGTGTACATGTGCTCTATTTAGACTGTGTTTGTCTTTCTTGGTATCTTCCATTAGGCTTGGTCACAGGGAATATGAACATGTTCTTTGTACAATCAAGGTAGACAGCAATGGTGTGATCACAGTGAAGCCTGACTTTACTGGCACAAAAGGAGCCTACCGGTGAGTGGGACAGGGCTGGTAGCACTAGCGGGCCTGATACAGAGGGCCGAAATTGATACCCCCGGTCAACTTTCAGGCAGTGCATCAGCATTTAAGTTGAGGGATATTTTTAGCTTTGTTCTAGAGGCTCCTGAGACAGGTTATTGTGTATTTATGCTTGGTGTCACTGGGCATATGATCTGGGCTTTGGAGCCAGCCCCTAGGAATACAGCTTATATGTTTGCAGGATGTGAGTGACCCTTTTTGAGCCATTGATGCTGGCAGGCACTTGGGAGCGAGGAGACGGTCTTTAATGCCCTTGTGTTACTTCACAGGCCTTGTAGGGAAGGGATGGCATGGTTGATAATATTGCTGCCTGGGCCTATTCTTTGCCTAATGGGGGAGTTTTGCCCGTGTGTTTTGGGGCTCTGCAGGATTGAGCTGGATGGAGAGAAGCGAGAGCTGTGGAAATACACCATTGAGAATGCGTCTGTCCAAGTGCAGCAGGAGGAGGAGGAACGGGAGCAGCGTGTGTTTAGAGATGTAAGGACCAGCTTCCACTGATTATACTGGCTAGTTCTCCTTTCTTGGCAGAGGGAGCTCAGACATAAACATTAGTGCTTTAGACACCTAAACTTAGGCAAGATGAATGTCACTGAAGGTGAGTCTCATCTGCCTAGCAATTTGAAAACTCCAACTCATTCAAATACTCCCTGAATATTCTGCTTCATTCCTTGGTCTAGGTTGAGATCTTGTCCGTTTGTGACTGGTATTCATTGTGTTGACCACTGACTGCAGTTGATGTTTTTAGTTAGGACTGAGGCAAGAAAGCACCTACATTCCTGTCTTTCTAGTGTCACCTGCTGATGGTATTCCTTCCCTTTTAAGCAGTGGGCCAACTCTTTCCTTGGTCTTCCTCTTGCTGCATATATAATTACAGAATGATTTCTTGTTGCCCTTAATGTCCCAGGATACTTGGATCTAATTTTGTGCCTTGACCTTTCTGAATTGCCTTTTTGCCTTTGGCAGTTTATATAGGTCTGTGATCTGTCTCAGTCTGTGATTTGTACACTTCCTTATTGCATTTGAGGTCAGTGAGGAAATCATGATTTAGCTGCACTGATTTCCCATCCATTCATTTCAGTGGAATAGTTTGTGCTTGTGGTTTTAGCACTGTGTCATTTAAGAGCTGCTGATTCTTTGGAGTTTCTTTTTTGTCTAGATTGGCCTTTGACAAGGTCTTCTCAGAAGCTGAACTTTCATGCAGTGTTAGCAGTTATGCATCTTTTATTGTATTAGATTCTTAAATTTTTACATTACTCTATATCTGCTATAACGATAAAAGAACTGTTAGCTATGCCCATCAACAGCTTAAATTGGTTTTATTTTATACCCTTTTTTTTTTTTTTTGCAATAATATAAGCAAAAACAAATAATCAAAAAGACAGTTTTTGTAATCCACTTTTTCTGTATTTCCAGCTGTATAGTCGGCACAAAGAATACCTCAGAGGTCTTGTAGGCTCAGAATTTGAAATGGTGAGTACCACTGGCACTCAGTAGGCACCGGGTGACCTGGTTAGCATGGCTGCTCTGTGTACCACGGTCTCCAAAGATCGTGTAATTCTGGGGATGTGTTGGCAGCTTTTACCATGTGGCTTCTTACTGAAAATTGGGCAGAGGGAATCCATTTGCAATGCTTGTGGAGGTCCAACATGCATCTGTCAGACCTGCAGCACAGACTCCTGGACACTGCAGTCTCTGAGGTTGTATGTGTTGTCTGGAGGCCTTTGACTGTAATATTCTGAGAAGAAAGGAACGAAAGTTTGTATTTTGGGGGACAGGGGTTGCTATTAACTTCTTAAATGCTAGACAGATTGCGTCACTCCGTTCGATTAAACAGTCTTCCCACCTCCAAACTCAAACTCATGTATGCTTTCACTGATCACCAAATTACCCAGACTGGAATCTGTTCTGCTCAGATCTTGTTCCCAGCAGCTGAAAGTTTTTGTGCTTCTTCTTGTACTTCAAAAGTGTGTTTCAGCTCTTCCTGTGCTTGTTTTATTCTTGGGCTAGTGCAGGAGCACTACGGTGGGAACTGTAAGTGACTTCAGACTGAATCTTGTGTCCACTTTGAAGTACTGTAAAAGCCCCAATTTACAGAGTAGTGAACTCTGGCAGTCTGGGAATTTGGTCTAGGGAGGCTCTATTCAGAGAGACTGGTCACTTCTGGAAATGACGGTGAGCTAATACGAGAAGTCAGGTTTCCTTCCTGACCAGCAGGAAGCAGGTTAAAGGATGAAGCCTTGAGGTGCAAAAAGCCATGAAATATCTGTGTGACACCTTGCTGGGAGAGGGTTGTGAGGAGTTCCACCAATAGTCGCTAAGTTTTTTTATCTTCTTTATCTGCTTATTCTCATAGACTCTTCCTGGTACGCTACGGCTGTTTGTGAATGGAGAAGTAGGTGAGTCCTTATTATTAACAGTTGCTGTAGGGGCAAAAACTGGGTCTGCTGGGATGGCTAAGGCTAGAAAGAGTTGAAGGATTCTTGGTTCACAGGCCAGTCCAGAGCAGATGATTCTCTCTCTAGCCTCCTTTTCTTTCTCCTCTTCCTCCTTCCTTCTCCTCCCCTGTTTTTTTTTTTTTGAATTAATCCCTTGAGTGGCATTAACAGATTGGAGATTACAAACACAGCAGCTGTTGTAGGAAACCGTGTAAGTCTGAAGAAGGGAGAACAGATTGGGGAATTAATATAGATTATAGCAAAGAAAGCAATTAAACATGGGACCTCCATAATCTGGTGGCAGGGACAGGGCTCATCCTGAGAAGGAATCTTCTCTGAGGGTCATGTTCTGTTGCGCTGAAGAACCTGGCTTTTCCCAGCTTCCAGCAGTAACTGACTATCCCTGAGACCTTTGGTGCTGCATCTCCCACACTGCAGTGAGTACTGGAGGAGTTTATGTGGAAGCAAGAGGCTAAATGTTCATTCTGTCTTCCTCTCAGTTTCAGCCCAAGGCTATGAGTATGACAACCTCTATGTTCATTTCTTCCTGGAGCTGCCTAAAGGTGAGTATCCCTGTTACCAGCCACATCACAGCAGTTTAAGAAATAAGGCATACTTTGGCTAGTGCATCAGATCAGCTCTACTAAAAGTCAGTAGAAATTAACATAGGGGCTGGGTCTAACTGGGGGCTTTCAGAGCTAAAAGTACAGAACTCAATGGTGTGGACTAAACTGACATCTGGGAGAAAAGTCTTGTCTCTTCCAAATTGGATTGGGATATATAAAGGACCATTGGCTTCTCAACCAGAAGTGGTGGTATCCAGCAAACTACCGAAGTTCATTCCTGATACTGCAGAGAATAGCCTTCCTGACTTCTCCATCTTAGTAGCAACCGTGCCTGATTTCACTGCCTGCCATCATGCTCTCATGTTTTTTGCTGACTCTAAAGTATTAAATCTTGGCTTGTAAGTAAGGCTCCCAGCACTAATATATACATCCTGCTCCATGTTTCATTACCCTGCAGCCATGACCCTGGGTCCCCTCTTTGTCTGGCTATAGCCCTGATGTTTGTCCGAGGGACTATTGCTTTTGCTACTCTATGTTTTTAGATAAGGTTCCTTTCTCTTAGGTGGAGTTTGTGCTGCCATACACAGCTCATGGAGTTCTGTGATGCAGTAATTGCAACAGGAGGGTGGGATGCACCTAGGAAAATTCAGTTTGGGTTGAGCATCTGTGACTGATGTTCTCCTTTGAGTCTTCCCTCTCACCCGGAGCATTCACCCCTGTGCTCACATTCTCTTTTCTCCCAGGCTGGTCAAGCCCGGCATTCCAGCAGCTCTCAGGAGTGACACAGACCTGTGCCACCAAGACAGTGGGCTGGGTAAGGATGCTTTCAAACCTAAGGAGCAGAGCTTGAATAGGCACAATCTGAGGTGGGCCATGTAGTGTCACAAGCTGTGGGTTTATTCAACAAAGGTCCTGACTTGAGAGCTACTTTTTAGAGCAGACCATGTTTGGGATTCTTCTCATCCTGGTTATACATTTGACGTCGACATTTCTGACGTTTCTCAGAGTTATTAACGTTTCTCAGAGTGCCGCCGTGTTTGACTAAAATTTCAGAGCAGTTTCTGGGACCTAACTTCTTTCATCCTTTTGGCTGATTGCCTTTGGAGCTTTGATTTTTGTTCTCTCAAATGCTCAGAGTTAATGAAGCGTTGTTCTGGCTTGCCTGGGTCTGAAATGCACACAGTCTATAAATTGATTTCTCATAGTCAACTCTTCTTCCTGTCTGGGAAGTTAGTTCAATTACTGTCTTCAGCTCCTCCCTTACAGATAGCTAGACTTGAATTTTACCAGCCTTTTTATGTCTTTGCAAGAGCTAATTTGCATATTACAAAAACCATTATTGTACAACGTTTCAGTAATCCTGTTTGAGGTATTTTCTGTGTTCCTATAAAGATCCTGATGGTTTGTAATAATTGTGCAAATGTCTGACTTGTCATTTGAGGTGTGTCGCTCTTTCCCCCTTTTCATTAGTTTTTGGATTAGCCTATTCCATCTACATGGCACTGGGAGTTGTGTGCAGGTCCCTCATGCAGCCAGGTGTTCGTTAGTGTGGTGTGATTGATCTCATCTAGGGCATCACTGCTTCCTCTCCTCCATTAGTTCTTTTCTCCTTGCTCTCTATGTGCCCATTGTAACACTAGTGATGAATTCTACTCCTGTCCAGGCATCTGATCTCTGCCCTGTTCCTCTTTTCCAGGATAATGTGGCATACTTCTGCTACCCCTTCACTTTGGAGGTGTTTTTCACCCAAGAAGATGAATCAGAAGGTGTGTTTCCTTGTTGCTCTGAAATGTGAAATTCTGAAATCTCTTGACTGCAGTGTAGGCATCATGCCGTGTGCATGTTGATGGCCCTTGCCCAAGATGAAAGGACAGAGGTAAAACACAGGAAAATCTTGCACATTCAGCAGACATTCACCCCATCACCACACAACCTCTGGACATGTAGCAAATATCTATTAGAGATAAAACAGCTTCCTTGTTGTGTCACATTGTTCAAAAAAGATTGTCTTCTCTGCCCAGGGAGAACTGAGCAACCAGTTTGGACTTGTTCTCAGAAACTCATCCAAACAGAAAATTTTCACAGATTTTTTAACTTTAGCTAATATTTCCTTTTTCATCCTCAAGTCTGAGGGTCCAGATCTTATAGGGGAAGATAACCACCCATATGTCTAGGTCTGTCATTCTAGAAGAAATACAGATAGGACTTCCTGCTAGTGGACTTGGGTATTTAGCAAACTTGTTCTCTGTGATAATCTCCATTTGCAGCTTTTGCACAGCTTTCCTCTGCTTCCCTTCCTTGCAGACTCTCTTCCTCAGTGGCCTGTTCTTTACTTTGAGGTTCTATCCCTGGATTTCTGGCAGAGGTATCGTGTTGAAGGATATGGCTCTTTGGTGTTGCCAACCTCTCCAGGTAAGATGTATTTGGAGGCAGTATGTTAAGTGCCTAGGGGAATGAGAGTTGAGTGGTTCTCTTGGGAGTGGACTCAGCTGGTCCTAGGGAGGGTTTTCCTTTGCATGCTGAAGGGGACAGTTAGCTTCCTGTGAGGCAGCAAAGAGGGGTCTGGTGCATCCTGAACCATTTTGCCTGTTGTTGAGAAGCACTGTGTGTTGCTGTCTTTGCTCCTTCAGTGGTTCTGTCTGAAAATTTTGTGCAATAAAGCCCTGGAGTGGTGCAGCATGTCCCCTGTCTACAATGGTGGTAGTCCTCTGTCCTACTTGGAATCTGAGGTTCACAACTAGACTGACATCCTGATGTAGTAAGGAGATGCACCTCATGATCGGGGGTAGTTTCAGCGCTGCCTGTGTGTGACTGGGGCTGACTCACTGGGAAAATGTATAGATATACAGTGCAATGTTTCCATTTCCAGCCTGCCATGGTATGGATCAGTGTGTATCCATCTACCATGCTGTCCTCTGTGACTCTGAATGGATTGATTAGCCATAACTGCTAAACTGGCCTGTCATCCTGGATCAGGTCTCCACATGCTTACCATCCCTACCTGGCGCCCTGTGGAGTTAGGGACAGTCTCTGAGCTGAGAAGATTTTTCATTGGTGGATCTCCTGAGCTGGAGGACTTAACTTATGTCAGGATACCAACAACCTTCAAGGTGGGTTCAACTGCAGGATGCTGCTCTTGCTGGGAAATGTTAGGCTCTCAAGTTCAGGTTCCTGTCAACAGCCTTGACCAGACTTGAGCAAGGATGAGCTGATGGTCCTATCCCTGTGAGCAAACAAATGGATTCTCTGTGGGACTTGTGAGAAGGCACAGAGGAATGGACAAACCCTGTGGTAGAGCTCTCTGTCCTCTTGCGTTTATGCAGCTTAGAGAAGTGAGTGTGCAAGGACCAAGGCTTACCTTACCTTGCCTTGCCTCTGCTTGCACTGGCCCTTGTCTGGAAAGCATCGCTCAGGTCAGCATCTCTTACCAGCTCTAGTCTTCACCTGTATTTGTAAAAAACTTGGGCTGTTCAGAGCTTGGAACAGTTCCTTGAAGCAAGAAACTGACAGGAATGTGGGGCAGATAAAAATTCCAAGCACTCAGGAAAGCTGCAGAGGTGCTGGCAGGTGTAACAAACAAGCTGGTCTTAGTAGCAGTCCTGAGTGGGAATTCTCACTCAGCTGAAGCATCAACTGAAAACTTCCTCCAGCACTGCACTGTCAGCTCACTAGTAATCACAGAACCACGGAATGGTTGAGGTTGGAAGGGACCTCTGGAGATCAGCTAGTCCAACCCCCCTGCTCAAGCAGGGACCTCTAGAGCATATTGCCCAGGATCACATCCAGGTGGGTTTTGAATATCTCCGGCAAAGGAGACTCCACAACCTCTCTGGGCAACCTGTTCCAATGCTCTGTCACCCTCCCAGTGAAGAAGTTTTTCCTCACGTTCAGATGGAACTTCCTGTCTTTCAATTTGTGCCCGTTGCCTCTTGTCCCGTCACTCAGCACCACGGAGAAGAGTCTGGCCCCATCCTCTTGACACCCTCCCTTCAGATACTTGTACACATTGATGAGAGAGTGCCTCTCACTCTTCTCTTCTCCAGGCTGAACAGGCCCAGCTCCCTCAGCCATTCCTCATAGGAGAGGTGCTCCAGTCCCCTCATCATCTTTGTAGCCCTCCGCTGGACTTGCTTCAGGAGCGCCACGTCTCTCTTGCACTGGGGAGCCCAGAATTGGACACAGTAGTCCACGAGAGGCCTCCCCAGGGCTGAGGAGAGGGGCAGGATCACCTCCCTCCACCTGCTGGCAACACCCCGCCTGATGCACCCCAGGAGACCCTTGCCCTTCTTGGCCACAAGGG